TCTCAGGAGCTGGCGTCTCGGCTTCAGGAACTGGTGCAGCCGGCGCAGGAGGCGCATCAGGCGCATCAGGGGCAGCAGTAGAGGCTGGAGCGGGAGTTGAAGAGGTTGCAGCGCGCGCAGGTGTGCTGGTCTCTGTCTTGGGCTCGCTAGCCTTGCGCTCGCTGGCCTGACGCTCACTTGCCTGAGACTCACTCGTTTTGCGCTCTGTCGTTGGAGGTTCGCTGGTCTTAGGTTCGACCGATTTAGATTCGCTTGTCTTAGGCTCAGCCGCCTTGAGTTCACTTGGTCTGCCTCTTCGGCCGCCCTTCTTGCCCTTTCTGCGTCGAGATGCCTTCTTCTCCTCGGCTTCCTTGCGCCTCTTTTCAGCAGCTTCCTCCCAAGGCTTTTCACCACGCGCGATCTTTTCAAGAAGAACTTTGTGATTCTCTGGCTTGCATTGCTCACAGAAGTACTCGTCCGGTTCTTCCCCCTTCGCGTATGTCAAACCCATACAGTCATTGTGTTGCCAGGCCGAGCATCGATCGCAGCAGATCATGTCGCGTTCAACATCTTCCTCCTCTTCATATTCGCCACAAATGCATCGAATGATTTCTTCTTCTTCGCTGGGAGCAGGCGTCGGTTCGACGGAGGGTTTGGGAGGTTTGTCTTTCGGCTGGGCTTTCGCCTTGGACTTCTTCGCGGGCGTTTCGGTGATCATGTCGAGGTTCTTGTGCTGGCCCTTGGTCGAGCGACCGGAGCGTCGTGGTTCATCTGGCTTAGTAGTTAGCTTTCTGTCCCGACGAGAAGTGGAGTGTGCTGCCAGTCGCCACCCATCGGGAAGGCCGACAATGGTCGCACGACTTTCGGTATACAAGAGCTTACCGGCCATGATGGAAGTATATAAGCTGATAGCAAGGTATTCAAATTTCTACGGCGCGAAGCTTTGGGGGTTGTAAAAGGTCTGAGATAGAGGGATGGAAAAAAGGATTGCGCACGCCACCCAAAATCTCGTTCTACGGCATCAGAAGGGCTAAAGTAATACACAGAGGAAGGCTCTGGAAAGTGGCACTTTTTGTTTGTTTGCCCGGTCCACGCAGGTATTACTTTGTCCTTGCACTTCCAGCGATTTTTAGTCTAGAGACAACGCGTGGGCGCCGGTGGGTGGTGTCACACCAAGCGGTTGGGTGGTGCTGAGTCTCGTTTGAATGCTGTCGCGCGCAGCGTGAATGCTTGGCGTGAGCGGGGTCGCGTGTAGACTGCGCAGCGCCTGAGGCGGCTTATCCCCGAGTGAATCGAGAGCTGACGATGGAAGTTTCGCAGGATCGCCTCGCAGGAGTGTCTGGTGATGAAATGAACGTCCAGCGACGAGCAGCGGGGGATGCTGGGAGATGGAAGAAGACAGATGGTGGGAAGAGAGGAGATGCTGTCGCGGTTGGATCGGGATGCTGAGTCATGAGCACGTGACTGCGGCTCCGCGGAGAATGGCTTGGCAGGCGCCAGTCCGGCTCCTTCTCGTCGCGTCTATTTTTCGGCGCCCTCGAAAGCTTCTCCAGATCCCCACATAGACTGTCTTTTACATTTCACGATCTTCGAACCCGTGCTACTTTCCCCCTCTCCAAAGTTGACGTGTTGTTTAGAGCTCATCTTAAAATCAAATCAATACCTATAATCTTTTACTATCCCACCGTTACTCAGTACAGATCATGGCAGATGTTCGATCATTACTCCGGAATGAGCTCGCCGCCCGCAAGGGCTCATCCCAGACAGGGAGCAGCGCAACGAACCGTGTGACCAAAAAGCGCAAGGTAGACCCAGCAGATGATTTGAGGCGCAAGAGGATGAGGGCGAATGTGCCATCTGGTCCGTCGACCGCGCATACCGTACAACCACCTAGTGCACGAGCTATCGAGGAGGAGGAAGAGATCGAGGGATCAGAGCAAGACATCGCCGGACCGCAGCCGCCATCTGACATCGCACTTGAGCAGCCAACTGCTCAACCCGATGTACAGCCATCAGATACGTCTCTTGTAGCCGCCGAACCGCCTGCCCCGACCACTCAAACCATCGATGAGGATGAATGGGCCGCTTTCGAGCGCGAAGTTGTCGCCCCCACCCGCATGCCGCATCGACCGGCTGCGCTCGCCGCAGAAGCGACCATATCAGCAGCGCCAGTGTCTGCAGACGAGCTCGCTGCCCAGCAGCAGAAAGAGACCGAAGCGATCAAGAAAAGCCGTGAGGCTGAGGTCGAAGGAGAAAGGGAGGATGCAGCGCGATTTATGGAAGACGAATTTGATGAAATGGAGCAATTAGAAGAGCGCGTCAGACGTCTTAAGCACAAGCGTGAAGAGCTGAGGAAATTAAGGATCATGGAAGATGCAGAAATGCAGAGAATGGACGAACCTCCTTCCGCTGCTAGCCCGTCAGGGGACCAACAAAATCCACCTGCAGGCGACGCAAATGAAGATGAAGACGATGAAGACGACGATGATGATTATGACGATGACTGGGACAATTGGAGATTCAAATGAATTTAACGCGGCTAAGGGTCGGGTGTGGGGAATACAGGCGTCATTTCATACGAGGGAGGTCCCGGACTTTTCTTACTTACAGTGATACCCAATAAGCTATGTGAAATCACAGGCCATTGCTCTTAATTTTCTTAATGGGCCACATTACACTTTTTATCGGCGTGGGCGGTATCCCGTGTTTCATGATGGGGCAGCGACATATTGTACTCTTAACATACTATCTACGATGAAACTCCTATATGCGAGAGAATGTATACTGGATCAGCCAGAAAGGATGGAAATGTATTTTTACAGTCATTTGCAATCATAAGTATGCTTTATATATCACAGAGGCTGCCGTTTCTGATTCTTCATGGCTGCTGACTGGCGTTCTCGCCTTGGCCCTTGGAAGACTGATCTTCGGCTTCTATGTAGCTTCGAAGTCCACCCCTATTAATCCTCATGGCCTCCTCGATCTCCGCTTCCCCTTCTCTCAAAAGATGTTTACCACGAACAAGCTCGCCCTTTTGCTTTCTTTTTTCCTCTTGTACCTGCTTCTCTCGTTCTGCCAACGCTTTCTCGCGTCTGTCACGTTCAACTTTCTTCCGTTCTACCTCTTCTCTTTCCTCGGCGGTCATGTCGCTTTCTGGAGCAGCAGGTAAGGTAGAGATGTAAGCCTCGATAAGCGGATTCCGCACTTTAGGCGTGAGGGCGATGTATCTGAGATCGGTGATGATGGACGGAGGGAGAGCCTCCAGATTAGATGAGCGATTTAGTTCGTGTAGTGGCACAGATTTTAATAGCGCTGAAAGATCAGACTTTCGCGTGCTTTCTGACTGTTTCAGTCGAGAAACCAAATCGCGATAGTACTTCTCTCGATCTTTGTCTGACATTTGCGTATCCTTCATTTCGGGTTCCTTTTTGTATTTGCGCTTGAACTCGGGCCAATACAACTTTGGTGTGGCGTGTTCCTGCAGGAAGGCCAGGTACTTGATGCGTGGGTCCTTCTTTTCTTCCTTCTCTTTGCGTTCTTTAAGTTCTTGAATCCGGTCACGACTCCAGTTGGACCAGACCTCACGGCGCGTTTTCATGTTTGGTAGCACAGTGTAGCGGGTATCATCAATGATCCGGCCTTCTTCGATGATCTTTTCCCACGTGGAGAATGGGTTAATGCGATAGTCGTCAAGAAGATCACGGAATAAGGCCGTGGCATCCTCCTCCGTGAGCGGAAGCCCCTCTGCGCCCTCTTCCCATTCTTCTTCTCCGGGTTCGCCGTATTCGCCAGGGTCAAGGCCATATTCTTCTCCCATTGCCGCCAATTGGTATTCCATATCCTCTTCCGTGAACTCCAACGGCTGCTGGTCGTCCCCTTCCTCGGTTCTCGGTCGTTTGAAAGGTTGCTCTTCCTCACCCTCGCTGTCAGTAACTTCGACCTCCTCATATTCATCGCTCTCTTCCCCAGCTGCCGGGGCAACACCAGTTTCTGCTTCTTCCCGCTGTGGTTGATCGGACACCTTAGCTTCTGGTTCTTCTTTGGCGACAACTTCCATATCCTTGCCCCGCTCCTTCCTTTCTTTTGCCTCTCTCTCCAAGCGGTCATATTCAAGAACCCCCATCAGGACCTCTGGGGGAATCTTCCAAAAACTCTCATTTGTTTCGGGGTTGTGGACAAATCTCCTTCCTAGCTTCGTCTTCACGAGCACCCATGGCGCGCAGCCAGGAATGTCATGTTTGGTTTTCGGCCTATCCTGTGGCCCACGGGGCTTGCGGTCATGGTAGCCTCTGCCCCCACGAAAGCCTCCACGTGGCTGACTATCGAACGGTGCTCCGTGTGGTGCAGCACCATGCCCAAAACCATGAGGGGCATAGGGAGTCGAAGAGAAAGGAGGCAGTGTATCCGGAGTTAGGAATGGCGCTTTATTCGAGGGTTCTGGTGCTGCTGCGGGCGGAGGCTGTACGGGGGCGGCCTGGGGCCTCGTATATGTGGATTGCTTTGTCTGCGAGTTGTAGTAATACAGATGACCTAGGTTGGATTAGAGCGACTCCAAGAGGAATCCGGGTAACTGGTAATCAAACCTGAAGGAGCTTTATGTTCGGTCCATCCTGGAGGTAACGGAGGGGGCGGGGTATACGTAGATTTGAGCATTGCAGCCACAGAGGATCCAAGAGAGTGCGCGAAAAGGTATCAATTAAGTGAAATAGTATAACAAGACATTCGGTTGCAGTTTGAGGCGCGAAGGAAAGATTTCCGGAGCGGGATCGCGCAGGCCGAGAGCTTTCGCAATGAGAGTTCGGGTGGTCCGAGCTTGGCGGACTGACGGTCAGCCCGGACGCTCAGAGGTGGACGCGCCAGGGCGAAGTTGCCTGGTCACCACTCTGCGGGAGCTCATCCGACCTTCCTGCACAGCTCGCCCGTCACTCATTCCTCATCTCCAATCCTCCCTTTCCTCTGTCTGATTTCCTCCACAAATACTTATTCTTCCATAATCTACTCAAGTTGACGTCGATTTCAAGATGTCACGGAGATACGATTCCAGAGTATGCCTGATTCCCAATTCCGTCGTTCCTTGGGAGCTTTAGCTGACCCGATGACGTCCGTCCACAGACTACCATCTTTTCCCCCGAAGGTCGACTCTACCAGGTTGAATATGCGTTAGAAGCCATCTCGCATGCCGGTACCGCCCTAGGAATTCTGGCCAAAGATGGAATCGTCCTCGCAGCGGAGAAGAAGGTCACCAGCAAGCTACTGGAGCAGGACACATCTGCGGAGAAGCTATACACGCTGAACGAGTATGCATCACAGCCCCATCGAGTTGCAGGTCTTTTTGTGAGCTGGAAATCTAATGTTTGGGCAGCAACATGATCTGTGCTGTTGCTGGTATGACGGCAGACGCAAACATCCTTATCAACTATGCCCGACAAGCTGCCCAGCGGTATCTTCTTACCTACAACGAAGAAATTCCTTGCGAGCAACTTGTCCGTCGTCTGTGCGACTTGAAGCAAGGATACACCCAGCATGGTGGTCTCCGTCCCTTCGGTGTTTCGTTCATCTATGCCGGCTACGACCCTCTCCGGGAGTTCCAACTGTACCAGAGCAACCCCAGCGGTAACTACGGTGGCTGGAAAGCAACTAGCGTGGGAGCAAACAATGCTAGTGCTCAGAGTCTTCTGAAGCAAGATTACAAGGAGGACTGCGATCTGAAGGAAGCTTGCGCTATGGCCGTTAAGGTTCTTAGCAAGACGATGGACTCGACCAAGCTGAGCAGTGAGAAGAGTAAGTCATGACCGATCCTTGTCCGTGATTACCCGTACATGGGTACCACGCTATCACGGTACCGTGACCTATGCTAATGCGTTGGCCTACAGTTGAATTTGCTACGGTGGGAAGGACGCCGGAAGGCAAGATCTACCACCACCTGTGGAATGCTGATGAGATCAACGCCCTTCTGAAAGAACACGGGCTGGCCAAGGTTGATGACGAGCCCGAGGCTGGCGAGATTAAATAAATGAGAAGACGACCCCATTTTGCTACTTGACCAGATAATCCCACATGTTTCCTGTGAAATAATCGCGCACTTTTCTGCCCAACGTTTACGATGTAGATTCTCTACAGTCTCGTATATGTACACTCGTATGACAGGTCGCTCCAAATCACTCACGGCACGGGTGAGGCCTATAGCTGCATCTGAAGCGCAACTGACGTCGGCCACGGGTGACGTGGCAAGCCTTGATGTCGAATTAAGCATCGGGCAATTCATTGCAGGTCTACACTCGCGTCTGTCGACCGGAAATGCCCAAAGCCATCACTGATCTTGGGACATGAATGGTCCACGTAGTCTTCAAGCCCTCCAGCACCCTGGGCGCTTGAACAAATGCTGAATGTTTCGGAACTTTAATGAGATCGTGAGGCCCCATATATATCAGAATCCCCAGAATCCAAGCTGGTATCTCGTTTGTAACACAACCACATCAACACCAAGCGAATGCACCGGCTGTGAATGTGTTTCGATGTCAACCTGTCCGGTCTGCTTGCGAATTTGACGGCCGTGTCATGGAAGCATCGTATGCGCGGGGTTATGGAGAGAATCTCTATGCATACTCCCAGGATCACTCAAAGATGAGTCAAGCCCACCGACTTGCAATAGTGAGATATCAGTGCTAGCTTTCTTTCCGGATTCTAATGAGAAGATTGAAGACCGCAGAAGGCAATCACTAACTTAGTAGCTTTGGTGTAGAGAGGAGACCATCACGTGCGATGGACCGCCCAAACGCGGGGTACAACAACTCCATGTTCACCTCCGTATCTCCCTTCCCAATCTCGCCAGCCTCTGCTATCAACAATCATGATACAACCATGGTAAAAAGAAAGCAGTTCGTACAGTTGGCCTACTTGATTTGGGCTTTGGGCTGACGGCTTTCCAACTCTAACCCCACTTCTCACAATGGCCCCTACTTCTGTTCCAATTGTCCTGGGAGTCTGGTTACCTTGGTCTGGCGAGCCGCTCGTTAAGGACATGGGCGCTTATGATGTGGAACACCTCCTCGTGAACGCTGCACGAAGGTACCAGATTTGCACAAATGAAACCTTTTCATTGGATGTTATGAATTCTCGACAGCAGATTGCTTGATCCACACTTTCCCGGCCAACCATTGCATGGGCCTGGCGTGAAGAACCAACCTCCATTCGATCATCAGAAACAAAAGGGAAAAAAAAAAGAAATATTAGGAAAGAAAGGTGTCAAGTGACACAGCCCCTGTGAGGCACAGAATTTACAAACAGGAATATGGTCTGAAACCGAAAGACAGTACCAAAGAGGGAATCCTAAGCACAAACGAAAGCAACAGCAAGTGGCCCAACGCATGGCCCCTGAAAAGTTCCCATCCTTCATTCATGAAAGTGCCTTTCTTCTCTCGTCACGCTCCCGCTGCAGTTGGCGAATTTCTTTTTCGAGCTCCATGACGAGCTTCTGTGACCGGTCCATGGACGCTACGAGAGTGCTTCCCTCCCGTTTCCATCGGTTCAAGCGTTCCACCTCGGCGCTTCGCCGCCGGTATTTGGTTTCGATCTTCTCGCACAAGCGGCATAGTGTTGTTTCAAACTCAGTCATATTGACGAGCCTCATGCCGCATGTCTCCCCAGTGCGGTACTCATAGTTGCAGCGGTGAGCGAAACTTGTCCAGCTCCAGTCTCCGCATGCAAATCTCTTCTGGTTGTAGAAACACATCCCTATCATTCAATGGTCAGCTAAAATACTGATCAAGCCGTGGTCAAACTCACTTGTTGCTGATACAGTTTGTTGTTTCACGTCGCTACTTTGAGTTCTATTGGCTCTGCCAAATGCTCCTGCCGCGCTGCAGAGGTTTGATAGGCTAAGCTTGCACGAGGCCTATGGAAGGTTGCCGGTTGTTTTAAAACGAAACACCTTATTCTGAAGAACAACGATTTAGATCTCGCGATAACTCTTGAAGAAGCTGAGTCTGAAACGGATAATGATCCAGATTCAATCGACTGGTAGGCCCCGGGTCCTATTTATGTTTCGCAGGAAGCTTCTATGTTACGGCCCAGCCAGTTCTCGTACTCTACCAGTCAACCGTCGATCAACCCCTCAACATATGATGGCTTATCGACTACGGCATTCTGCTATCACTTTCACATCACATCCAGTGCTTTTCCGGTTGGCTATGCTAGGGTCTTCCAGCTGTGGAGACACAAGTTATCCACAACCTTCCTAATCAGGTCAGTTGTAGTCAGTGGATGCTTCACAGATGCAGGCGTGTTGCTGTCGTGGCGGTATCATTTCTCCTGAATCAGGTTGACCCCTCGAAAATCCCTCATTTGATATGGACGGTTTTTGTCCTCCTGGCTGGGATTGCCATTGCAGCCTTGGTTGTTCCAACGATCATCCCCGCTTCCTTTCTGCGTCTCCGTTGCGTATGGAGTTGTCCTTAGAGAAGAAGACATGCCTCACCCTTACTGAATCAAAGCTCCTGCATGAGAAAAATAAACCGTTTCTTTATTTTGTGCCAGCTGTCAGGCCGTCCGTCTCACCGTCCAAACCTTTTTTGCCCCCTTCTGCATCCAAGAAAGAAAACCTAGTGTTCCGTCTTGAGTGGATGGAAAAAGCAGAGTTTCGCTTTGCAGGACCAGTGTGGTTACGGCTATGATCATTTAGTCTGGTTTGTTAGATGCCTTACCACCATAACCTTGTGGCTAGTCACTCACAACCAATTAGTCCGCTCGCGAATTGGCCTAGTGTCATAACCTCTGATACGGACTTTGGGCCGAGGGCAGGGTGACTCCGAGACATCTGCCCAGTTGGACTTTACTTTTTTTTACTTTTTCCCCTCTCAACTCTTTACCTGACACCTAGTATGCCCAAAGGGTCAGGGTTCTGTCACCTGGTTGCAACCCTACCAAGTTCCTTCTACCATGTATCCCGAATACTGGTCCACACAGGATTCTGGCCCCCGTGCCAATGGTCATCTCGTGTACTCCGCATGTTTCCGTCTGGCTGATATCAACCAGATGTTTCTGCATCTAGTGGCGAAAGACGCGTCACTAGAAGCCCTTCATTGGCGTCCATTGCTTCCTTGGATTTTACCTCGGGAGTCAACATGACATGCAGTTGCATGATGAGCTCAATATTCCATTAGGGACTGATTCTCTTCAGCTGATCTCCCACATCTGCAGACGAATAATCCCGCATTTGTCCCCGCTCGGGTGCAGGGTTTATCTTCATTTGCCTGCCTTCCTCGGCCAATATGATAGGATGTCGGCTCTGTACATCAGCCATGGCAGATACTGACTGTGGTACGGTGCACCTACTGTCGAACCCGTGCAGCTGCACTAAAGCTCGGAGACTGACTGACGTGGCACGCTTCGTCTGGTCGAGGTGCTCGAAATTTCGGCCTTTCTTGGTGAAGAGGGGGTTTTTCGACGAGAAGATGGTGTACAGAATCCATAGCAACTCGAGCAAGGCAGCCTTCAGTTCCTCAGCATTGGCCTATAGGGGGTCAATGTACCCGAATTTCCGCTTGTCCGGACATCCTTCGAGATGATTGCATGAAACTCTCTCATGCGTCTGTACATCCATCACAGCATTGGATCGTCGGTCAACCTGACTAGATTCCCTGTGTGCTGAGAATCTGAGCATGGAATGATGTTGGTTGCCAACTCAGCGACTATCGGTTCTGGCTTACAGCCGCAACCTGGAGGCAACACCGGTTACCAACTGTTCTGCCACTCACGAGCTGCTCAATCTCGGTGCTCGCGATGCGATTTGCCACCCATCTGCCTTCTCTTGCGAGCTGTCTTACTTCGGATGTTTCTAGTCCAGCCTTGCCTGTGGCAATTGTACTTCCGTGACCAGGATTTGGCTCGATAGTTCCGGTAAATCGTCCTTGCCCAACCTGCCAGGATTTTCGATTTACACCTGATGTTTGTGAGTTTCTTTTGGGCTGCAACTGTCCGGAAACTCTACGTTTTTTCTACTCTGAAGCCGAGTGATCTATCCACGACGTTGAAATTGGATTTTGTGACCCACATAATTGCACCGAAATACTGGGATTTTTCAATCCCGTGACTGTAACGTGACCGCAGCCCTCTGCGCATCTACGCATACCTGTTTTTCTTGCAGTCAACAAATGGAATATGTCAAACGACCTTTCGAAAATTTAAGGTAAGGAAGCGTTTCCCTCTGTTTCCGGCTTACGAGTTTGGATTGGTCAGTGGATGAAAGCATATTCGACGGTCTCAGCACGCTGTAGCCAATGAAGTGGTTCAGCTGGACGGGAGATATATGCAGCTAAAGAGGACCCCTGTCATTGCTTTCTAGCCCGCAAAACGCCTAGACTAGACAAGTCCGATTGACTTGAGCAGGGAAGAATCATAGCGGGTCCTCGCATCTGCACGTTGGCACCTGCAATTATTCCTCTGCGGCCTCAAGTTTGAGGCATTCAGCCTTGCATGTTGCACAAGTCGGTTTGTGGCTTTGACCCAGTGCTCTTCATTCTGTCCATCGATCCGCCTCGACCGGCGTAAGCTCCCTGTGTTTCCCAATCGGGTGTGATCTTTATGCGTGAGGCCATGACCCAGCCCATAAACATCCCCGCCTTGGGGATTATCAACGTCCAGCACAGAAGCCTGAACCATGAGGCAACTTCAATCAGCCCGGGATCTTTGCATGATCATGGTGATTACATACTGGAGTCTTGCGTCAGGCGGTATTTACCGAATGCACGGAGACTGTGCCATCGCATTTCCATAGTCTGGGCTTAACTGAGGCGGCATCCGCGTGTAGCATGATTGACGTGTCAAGTCTATCACTCCGATGGACAGACTTTATTCATTTTGCTTTTCCTGGTTGTGGCGACCTGATGAGTACAGCACCGTCCTTCTTCCCGGCACGATGAGAAGCACAAGGCATCCACTTTTACCAGGAAGGCTGCGGGGGGGGGAACATGAATTCTGCCTTGCTCCATGTCTTTGAGGCGAGGCCATCACGCCGCTAGTCTAGAAACGTTCCCCAGGTGGTAGGTGATGGGCTGATGCCATTTTTCCCCTGTAATTTACATAATCCAAACATTGAGACGCGTTTCTCTTTCACCAGACTATCTGGAAGGACCTTGTCGCTTATCGTCTTTTCTGCCCTCGTAAATCAGGGCCCTTTCCTTGTGAACAGTAGGTATACATCCGGATATACATCGGTGATCACGTGGCCGCATGCACCCTGGCAATGTAGATGACGTCAAGATGATAGTAGTCCAGCCAAGTTCCCTCTAGAGTTCTAACACAACCCCCAAGTATTTCTCTTCAATATCACTTCTCCTAGAATTTAATTTTCAAAATACTACTCTCAAACATGTACGCGAAGACACTTAACGCAATTCCCCAAAGCCCATCTAATCACCGGCTAACCCTTGCTCCCAGAACTATATACATCCGCCACTACTACTACACCATCACCATTAGACCCAACATTTGTTGAAACACATTCCACTCTAATCCTCCCAAACCAAAACAATTCCACCGAACTACACACCACCATGCTCAACCGCATCACCCCAATCGGCCGCCTGGCCCAACGCACCACCCAAACTCAAACCCGAATTCGAACCTTTCAACCCGCCACCCGCACCTTCCGCACCATCGCACCGCTGCGCACAACCCACCAGCAAAAGAGCGAAACGCAATCCGGAGACCGCAACGTCCTCGATCCTCAGCGATCTGAGAGCTCCTACACCGGCACGGACAGCGAAGTCGCGGGCCACGACGCAGCCTTTGACCCTAGTAACACATCACCCGAAGGCCAGGTTGAGCAGGCGCAGAAGGAGTCTGAGCAGCAGGGTAAAGTGAGTAACCCGTTGGATATGAGTCCTGGGAACTCAGAAGTCAGTCATGCGAGACCGCCGCAGGAGGGAGGTCCCGATCATAATGCTGAGAAGGAGGGGCCGAGCTCGAGGGGGTGGACGAAGAAGAATCGTGAGGTGAGGGGTGGGAATAGGAAGTATTAAAGGAACAAGGTTGTTGTATAGACTTTGCATTTAGTTTTTAAATTGTCCTCATGTGTGAAAGTGCCTGTTTGTTGGGTTGGGTTGTGTATGGTATGGTACACGATATAATAAGATGTTTGTTTGGTCTTTAGTGGGATATATATATATCGCAGGCTTGAGAGAGTAATTGGTGTTAGTATTGTCACTTCATTGCTGAATTAGAAAACATTTGAACCAAAAGTTACCTCATTAAAGCACTGCGGATAGCATATATAAATAGTTCATAGTACAATAACCCTTCTCAAACAGGCTACTACTCCTTCCCATACTGAATAATATCCTTCCCATACATCACCCACACCTTCTCACTCCCAGCCGGAACCTCGCCATTCAAAGCCTTAACTCCCGCATTAACCGCCGCCTTTGCAATAACATCCGCATCCTGCGCCCATCCATCCTTCAATCCGGAATGGATCTTGCCAACAAGACCCGCAAAGCCCCGCATCACCGCCTCAGCAGGCCTACTCTCCTGCCTCTCCCCGGAGATAAGTCCCGGGCGCAAGATGACTGTCCTCTCAAATCCCATCGCCTTCACCTCTTCCTCAATCTCGCCCTTCATCCGGGGATATCCAAAGGATGAGTTCTTGTCAGCGCCGGTCGACGAGATCAGCACGTACACCTTGGTGCCGGCATCGCGCGCCGCACGGGCCAGCTCAACATTCAGACCATGTTCGATCTTGTATTGGTTCTCGAAGCCGCCAGCTGCGCCGCGGGTGGTTCCAAATGCGGAGATGAAGATGTCTGGCGTTGGGGTCAGGGAGGAGAGCTGCGAAGCCCACTTGGAGGAGTCGTCGGACACGAAGGTGGTGAGCTTTTCTTGGGGCGCGGCAGTGGCGGGTTGAGGGGTGCGACGGGAGATAGTGTCAATGCGTGTCACGGCGGAGTTGCCCAGGAGGTGGGTAAGGATGTGGCTCCCCTGTAGATAAGTATATTAGATAGATGATTTTGCTTTTCGCCGGGGACTACATGGCGGATTTGAAGGGATAGGTTTGACTTGTGCTGGAGGGGCCAGTTTTGATTAAGGTAGATGTAGAATGAGTTGCTTACCACCATGCCGGTGCAGCCGAGCAGTGCGACGTTGGCCATGTTAGACTAGCAGCTGTTATATACCAAACTGGATTGGTGCAGAAAGGGATAACTACATGTAAGGCAGATGAGATGACGTTTTCCACCGACTTATCGTGGATGAGTAATCACCACTTATCGGCGGGTCCAGACGGCTGATGCCTCAGGACACAGTCACTGACTAATGCGGGGAAGGCCGAAAGCGGAGATATTCTGCCACCGGATCCCGCCTCCAGGATCTATCGATAAGAAATTGCGTGATTGCCACTAGCCGGATGGGGTAAGATCCCCTGGGATTTTCTATAGAGCGGCGGCGGCGACGGGCTTTTTATCCCCCCATCGCCCCTCCCAATCCGGCGCTGCTGATTCCTCTCCTCTTGTCTTTCTTGTCTTCATCCTGGTGGTATCGGCTGGCTGATTCCCCCATCTTCAGACAAGAATCCCCCGCCATGGGCTCCTCTTCTCCAGCCTTGTCGACCCTCGGCGGTCCGACTTATGTCACTGCCCAGACCCTCATCCAGCAAGTCGCTTATGTCTTGAGCGACAAGATCTTCTCTTACTCTCCGGAGTCCTTCGACTTGGATGCTGCTATCCGGGAATGGTCCTCCAAGCAGGAGATCAACGCCAATGGCGAGTCTCCTGAAATCAAGGCCATGGAGACCCGCCAGGGTGCCGGTAACATCGCCCTCGGTTACATCTTCTCCCAGGACTTCGACTTGAAGAAGCGCCACATTCCTCAGGGTATTGTTGCTTCCTCGGCCACTCTTCCTTATATGCGTGCCGCCCTGGAGCAGCTGTCTCTCCTGTACTCCGTTGCTAGCCCCGTTGCCGCCCATGTCGCCGCTGTCGACTATGCCGGTGAGGACGGCCTTGTGTCCGACTATGCCTCCGCCCTTTCCCTCGCCGAGGAGCTTGGCCTGGGTCTCGTGTCGAGTGCCTCTGTTCATGAGTCTCAGCACATGGCTCTGCTCACCACCCTTCTGTCCTCGGTTCTGCCCTCCGTCCACATCTACGACGGTGTCCGCGTCGGCCGGGAAGAGACCCGCGTCATTGATGTCCTCGACCAGGCTGGTCTGTCTCGCACTTACGAGGCCGTCCGCAAGACCCTTGAAGATTCCCGCAGTCGTCACCTCGACACTCAGGGCAAGCTCCTCGAGCTCCTCCAGTCCCTGAACGGTGAGCTCGGAACCGACTATGGCCTCTTTGAGTACCACGGCCACGCTGAGCCCGTCTCCGTTCTGGTTGCTTTCGGTACCGTCGAGGCATCGCTCACTGCTCAGATTGCCCGCTCTTTGGCTAAGGACGGTGTTCGCGTTGGAGTAATCAACGTCCGTGTCTACCGTCCTTTCGTGGAGGAGGAATTCCTGCGCGTTCTGCCCAAGTCGGTCAAGACCGTTGGTGTCCTTGGCCAGGTCTCTGACGAACAGGCTGTGCAAGAGCAGGGTGTTCGCTCTGCTCTGTACGAGGATGTCCTTGCTGCTTTGACTTTCGCCACCGATCGGGAGCAGACCCCGGCTTGCGTTGATATCAAGTACGCCCGCTCTCAGCGCTGGGATCTGATCAACACCGCTGCCGCTTTCCAGTTGGTTCATGAGAAGCCTATTGTCCAGACTGGTGCCGAGTCCGAGCCCCTGCAGTTGCTCGACCCTGCCACCGTCCAGGAGTACACTTTCTGGGATGTTGACACCTCCGTTGGTGGCGACGTCGCCATGACTCTTTCCCAGGCCTTGGCTGCCGACTCAGCAAGCAATGTCACCACCAACAAGGTCCACGATAACCTCGTCCAGGGAGGTGTCGTCCGTGTTGACATCCGCAAGAGCTCCAAGATTGTCGATGCCCCCTACTCCATCACTGCTGCCGACACTGCCTATGTTGGAGACGTCAAGCTGCTTGGCGACGTCGACATTGCCGCATCTGTCAAGGACAACGGCAAGATCATCGTGAACGCCCCTGGCGTGAAGGACGATGAGCTCGAGAAGAAGCTGCCTGTTGCTTTCCGCCAGGCTGTCGCTGAGCGGGGCATCTCCCTTTACTTCGTCGACCCATCTGTTGCCGGTGAGACCGCCTCTGAGTCCTCGGTCCTTCAGGTTGCTTTCTTGCGTGTGGCTCTGCCTTCTCAGGAGAGCGTGGGCATCAAGAAGCTGGCTTCTATTGGCGGTAATGCCGAGGCCCTGGAGAATGTTAGCAAGGAACTTGAGAAGGTTCTCCGCCAGATCGAGGTTCCCGAGGCCTGGAAGACTCCCGAGGAGGGAGCCCAGGTTGCTCAGCTCCCCAAGGACATTTCCCCCAACAGCTTCGTGTCCTTCGACAAGGAAGAAACCGAGCCTGCCTCCTACCTTAAGGACTGGCAGACCGCTGCCAAGGGTCTCGCTTTCAAGGAGGCTTACGGCACCAAGAATGCTCTGCGTCCTGAGACAGCTACCAAGACCTTCACTGTCCACGTCAAGGAGAACAGACGCCTTACTCCTGTCACCTACGATCGTAACATCTTCCACATTGAGTTCGACTTGGGTGACTCTGGCCTCAAGTATGACATCGGTGAAGCCCTGGGTGTGCACGCTGAGAACGACCCGAAGGATGTCATGGACTTCATCGCCTTCTATGGCCTGAACGCCGACGATGTCGTCGAGGTGCCCAGCCGCGAGGACCCCGCCGTTCTGGAGAACCGCACCGTCTACCAGGCCCTTGTCCAGAACGTCGACATCTTCGGTCGCCCGCCCAAGCGCTTCTATGAAGCTCTGGCCGAATTTGCCGACGATGAGAAGGAGAAGACCGATCTTCTTACCCTCGGTGGCCCCGACGGAGCTGTGGAATTCAAGCGCCGTTCCGAGGTGGACACCGTTACCTTCGCGGATATTCTGCTCCAGTACCCCTCGGCCAAGCCTGACTTCCACGACCTGATCCGTATCGTCGGTCCCCTGAAGCGTCGTGAGTACTCCATCGCTTCTTGCCAGAAGGTGACCCCCACCACCGTTGCTCTTATGATCGTTGCGGTTACCTGGTCGGACCCCACTGGCCGTGACCGTTTCGGTCTGGCTACCCGCTACCTCAGCCGCCTCCAGCCCGGTACCCCCGTCACCGTCAGCGTCAAGTCCAGTGTGATGAAGCTGCCCCCCAAGTCCACCCAGCCCCTCATCATGGCTGGTCTCGGTACTGGTCTGGCTCCCTTCCGTGCCTTCGTCCAGCACCGTGCTCTTGAGAAGGCTCAGGGCAAGGAGATTGGCGCCGTCTTGCTGTACATGGGCTCCCGTCACCAGCGCGAGGAGTACTGCTACGGTGAGGAGTGGGAGGCCTACCAGGAGGCCGGTGTCATCACCGTCCTGGGTCGTGCCTTCTCTCGTGACCAGCCTGAGAAGATTTACATCCAGGATCGCATGCGCCAGACTCTGCCTGAAATTATCCAGGCCTACATCCGCGAGGAGGGTGCTTTCTACCTCTGCGGTCCCACATGGCCCGTGCCCGATGTCACCGCCGTGCTGGAGGAGGCCATCGCCACTGAGGCCAAGAACCTGGGTAAGAAGGTCGACTCTCGCAAGGAGATCGAGAAGTTGAAGGATGAGGAGAGATACGTCCTTGAAGTGTACTAAGGAGTGGTTGAAAAAAGGTTATGACCATAGAAGAGTGGGGATATCTAGCGCCGTGCGTTGTACATGATGTGATGTGATGATCTGTCCGTCCTGTTTGAGTTTAGCGCATACCAGCATAGAGACACCTGATCTACCAGTTCAAAATAGACTTTCGCATTTTCTCTATGACTCTCTTCTCATAATTATCATCTATCGTAAATTTCAAATCTATGGGTATCTGCTATATCCATCCGCCCTTGTCCATCTAGCAGCCAAGTAGTAGTTAGTCTAAGCACATCCAACTCTTTTTTTTACCCCGCCAAAACGGAAAAGGAAAAAAAAATTCGTAACCATAACTATAAACAAGAAGATATCGTTAAAAGCAGCCGCAATGATAATCACTTCTAATTTCAAGCCCGTCCCAAACTACCCAACTTCGTCTTTCCATACGCACCACCCTTCTCCTTCCTCAACTCCAACGCCCGTCGATAAGGCGGCGCAGTAGGCGGCTGCACCGGATCCAAACTGACATGATCCGGCGGCAGCGTGTACGAAGCGTCCGAATCCCAAGCCGAGAGATCACCGCATGCAATGAACCTAGGAATCCACCTGTTCTCGACAGCGAACTTCTCACCGGCAGACTTATACGCCAACGGCGTAGGTGTCACCGACGCCAACGAGTCATCGTGAAGCAGCCGCGCCTCTGTCTGACTAGACTCCGCTGAAGCAGCGCCTAGAGTCGCCTCGGCCGGAGCAAAGCGGGCCAGCTTGACGGGGCGTGCATCGTCGTCCTCGCTCTCGATGACCTCCACTCCGACGTTTCCGTCGGCTGAGACAGGAGGCGGGACAGCCACGCCCCCGAAGATAGGGTTCTTCAGCGCGTCCGTGCCAGCGTGGATGGAAGGCGGGATGAATCCCTCGCACACGACGAACGCCTCCAGACTACTAGCGCGACTACTCCGCGGCTTCGCGACGCTGACTTTCTCGAACACAGTGCGGAGTTGCGCGTAGAGGAGATCGACGTCGCGGCCGCGGAAGATCTTGGCGACGAATTTGCCGCCGGGGCGGAGGACGCCCAGGGCGAGGTTGAGTGCAGAGTAGAGTAGTTGCGATTGGATGTAGATGTCGAGGTCGTGCAGGCCTGTTACGTCCGGGGCGCCGTCGGAAATGACCAGGTCGACGGGGTGAGGGGGACGAATGGCGGAGGGGGTAGAAGAGGTGGAGGTGGAGTCGTAGGCTTCTGGGTCCAAGGCGCGCAGGAGGAGGGGGATGGTAGAGGGGTGGGTGATGTCTGCTTTGAGAGTGGTGATGCCTTCGAGAGGCGCCATGGGTTGAAGATCGATGGAGACGATTTTAACGTTCTTGCGGGGTTTCAGTTCGGTCATGTCGGTATCTTCTGAGGAGGTGGTTGTGGTGTTTGAGCCATTGCGGACTCGTTCGAGGGCTTCCTTTTCCTTGCGCTTCTTCTCGACCCAGGCGCGGCGACCAAAACTCTCGCCCTTGATCAGAACGCGACTCAGCACTTGACTCCAGCTGCCCGGGGCGGCGCACAGATCGACGACTCGGGTGACTTTGTCTGGGTTCTCGTGCTCGAATAGATCGAATTGCTCGTCGATTTGGATCAGTTTGAAGGCGGATCGGGCGCGCCAGTTTTGTTCCTTGGCCAGAC